GGGGATTTTGAAACAACAAAGTGATGGTCATATCTCCAGCTCACTATTTGTACTTGAACATATCACTTGATTTCTCTGGGCATTTTCGAGTTTATAAAGACAAAGTACCTGGCTATCGTGGGGGCAAAGGAGATGGAATATACTGGAAAGGACAACAGAAATGAGTTAACAAATACTGGTCATGTAACTCCTGCATGCTGGGTACAGAATATATCACAGAAACAGCTCAACTACTGCTCATTTCACTAGCTCAGGCTCCAGGGTATCATTCAAGGGCATCAGGCAATGCCGTCTACCACAAACACTACCAAACAGCAGAGCCCACTACCAGATAAACACACCTGAAAGGTCATGGCAACCTCTTTTGCCAAGAAAAGACTTTGGCTCAAGAAGCAGACATCATTTGAATGGGAAACAGGCTCAAGTGTTTAAATGCTTGCTTCTCAGTCATTAGTACTGTTTGGGGAAGCAACAGAAGCTTTTGGGGGAGGAGGGAGTGGCTGTTAGAAGTGGGGTGCCTAGTAACAGGCGGCTGGGGGTTACAGCCTGGCCCCATTTCTATTATGAACAGTCTATTTCCTGATCCTCCAAGATGTGAGCAAACTTCCTCATGCTTCTACCACAATCTCAACACCATGCCTTGTTTGCCTTAACCGCCACTCCAGGGCCACGCGAGATGAAGAACAGTCATAGGCCATATATTCCATACACAAACACTAACAACAGCTGATGAGCAAAAGAAAGTCTATGTGTCTCCTTCATACTATCTGAGGGCTGATGTGCACAAGTCCTCCTGCCCTGGTTACGTAGCACTCCACTCGGATGGTCTCTAATGATCACTGAGCAGCTGAGTCAAGAAAATGAACATACCTAAGTAATAAAACTTTATGGTTTTTTAAAAATATTTTTGTATATTTTTAAAAAGGTGGTAACATAAAACTAGCAGGGTCTTCAGCATTGTATTTGAGAGACAAATGTGTCAGTATCTGGGTGATGGAAGTAACGGCAATTCTCAGTGGGTTCTCCGGGTGCTTTGGTCCTAGTATGACTCTGGCTGCTCACAAATGTGGGTGACGCAAAAAGAGATGGCATGAATGTGGGGGGGGGGGGTGAAGCCAGCAACATTTGTCTCCAGAAGACAGAGACTGTTGGACAACTGGTCAAGAGCTATCAACTTCTCTAAGTTTTGAGTGCCAGAGTACAGCACTAGTTGTCCCATCTGGAAACTGGCAGGTGATGCATTTATGGTGACTGAAACTGGAATTACAAACATTATTTTCCCAAAATTCTTGCAATCTTTTTTTAAGCTCTTATGTCACGTATTGCTTAGTTTCCATGGGATTGGGCATTGAAATGTATAAAACTGTTTAGAGAGCCTGAATTTGAATTACCACATTTTTATTGTTGTTGTTGGTGTGGGTTTTTTTTTTTTTTTTTTTTTTTTTTTTTTTTAGACAGAGTTTTTCTGTGGCTCTGGCTGTCCTGGAACTCATTTTGTAGACCAGGCTGGCCTCAACTCACAGAGATCCACATGCCTCTGCCTCCCGAGTGCTGGGACTAAAGGTGTGTCCCACCGCCACCCCGTGACCTATGACAATTTTAGTTTCACTTAAAATGAGATGATTTGAAACACTGTGTTGATTTAACCTTGAAGACACATGTTTAACCACTTAAAGGAATGTCTAAATCCACACTATAAGCCAGTTTTCATTGTCAAGTTCTGATACAAAGTTTGTTTTTGGTAACAGAAAGGACTTGATAACATGTTGCAAATCATAAAATTTTCTCAATCTGGCCTTGACTTAGCCTCATATCAAAAAAGTTACTGATGTAGCCACAGTCAATGTCAACACTGTAAAAGAATTCCTATAATTGGTGAGGATTAAACCCCAGGTCCTTTTGAAATTTAGTCCTAATGAAGACTTTCACAATGTTATTCAGTCTTAATGCTGTGCACACATATTTTCTTGATGGATTATACAATACTCCATCCACTCAACATAAATTCTGGGCAGTGATGATATATCATCTTCTGTGAATTGTACAAGCTCCTCTCTTCTACCTACCATTATGGGTACCTTTGGTAACAGCCATAGATACAGTGACAAAGAAAGAACTCTGGTTTTTTACTGCTTTATAGAAACCTCTTGATATAGATGTGCCTTTTAAAGGCACTAAAGAATCCATATCTTCAGTGACTTTAATTCATCATCAACACCTTGACTAAAAGCAGCAAGCTGAGCTGTACCTGTAGCCAAGCTGTTACCTAGAGCCAACATAGGAAACTTAAAATTAGGGGATTTACCCTCCAACCTTCTTTCAGTGGATTTTCCAGTTTCTCCACTTTATATGGTTATAGTCAAGAGACAAACTGACTTTAGAAATACTCCTTTTCTCAAAGCGTGTAGTATTATACCTGCCACGCTCTACATACCTCACTTAATAAACTTACCACCAGTAAATGGTTTTGATTTTTTGCTATTAAATATGCTGCCACATAACTAGCTTTTACAATAGGATCTGTCCAAGTCGTAACTTTCAGAAACAATTTTGTTGAGAACAGTCTTTTGTTCAGCTCTACTATTTTATCCTTATGGCACAATCCCGATACACATTGAATTTGACAGCATGTATTACATATAATGACTTTTCAAATTACAGTCTTTGGAAACTCCCACCAATTCCCTACAAGCTGGGCACACTGCCTCACTGTTGACCTCAACAGAAAACTAGTCATCTGACCATTTTGCATTAAACCATCTTCCTCCAGCCATACTTTTCGTCTTCGGTGCTTCTCTTCTCCTCCCTCACCCCAGAGGTGCATAGATGTGGGTACGAGTGTGTATGTACAAGCGTGTGGAAACCAATGGGTACTCTCCACTTTATTTCTTGAAGCAGGGTCTCTCACTACATCTTGCACTCACTGGACCTGCTGGCCATCAAATCCTAGAGACTGTATCTTTCTGCCTCCACATCCCAGCACTGGGATTTCAGGCACATGCTACCATGTTCACCTCCTGTGGGCAAGTGGGGTTCAAATTCAGGTCCTTATGAGATTTTGCTAGCTAAAACATTTCCCTGGCCCCAGTTATGTTTTCCTTTGAGATGCTACATAAGCCATGCTGGCACTAAAATGTAATAACACATAGGGGGCTATATTTACTTTTACCATGGAAAATTAACTGATAGGAAAGCAGAAGGTGAGGTTGGGCCTTCTGTATCCCAGCTGCTGAAGTAGTGCAAAGGGAAGCCAACTTTAAAGTACAGTGGGCAATGCAGGAACCAGAGCCGAGGCACAGAAACAACCTTAATAATCAAGTAAGAATACTATTCTTTTAAGTAACATTAAATGTCTATGACCTGCAATGGTTGCTTAAAGTATTATTGATGATTGCTGTGTTTCACTCTCCAAGTCACCACGAGCACATGTAAGGTCTGGACTGTCTATACTTGGAAGACAACATACTGGAAGGCACACACACACATATAAGTAGAAGTGCATATACATATCTATTCTACATTACACTGCAACACAACATTGTTATTGCCAAAGTTCATACCACAGAACCATGCAATACAGTTACCAAAGCAAAAAGAAAACACACACACACACACACATTCACACACACTCACTTACAAATCTCATGTCTTAAGTAAGCATACAGTTTTATGAAGGTGAACATTCATAGCTATCCTGGGCTACATGTTTCCTATAGGCTAAGTACTGAACACCTCTGCAGTGTAAGTCAAAACAAACTTCACCTCCCTAAAGTTCATTCTGCCAAGTATTTTATCACAGCAAGGAGAAAAGTCACCCTACTAAAACTGAAAATATTACTGTATTATTAAAGCTACAAACTTAACCGAATACCAAATACTGGAAAAGGTATTGCTTCAAAACCAAATGTCGTAGTGCCTAAAACAATGCAACAGACATGACCAGACAGTGTATTTTGGTTCAAGAAACATAATTATGTACTGTGGAATCATACAGACTTTTAATTGGTTAATAAGGAAGGAAAGCTGGCCAGGCGGTAGTGGCATATGACTTTAATCCCAGCACTCGGGAGGCAAAGGCAGGTAGACCTCTGTGAGTTTGAGGCCAGCCTGGTCTACAGAGTTAGTTCCAGGACAGGCCCCAAGGCTACATAGAAACCCTGTCTTGAAAACCCAAAAAAAAAAAAAAGAATGAATGAAAAGGAGGGAGGGAGGAAAGGAAGGAAGAAAGGAGGGAAGGGAGGGAGGGAGGGAGGGAGGGAAAGAAGGAAGGAAGGAAGGAAGAAAGGAAGGGAGGGAGGGAAGGAGGGAAGGGGGAAGGGAAGGAGGGAAAGAATGAAGGGAGGGAGGGAGGGAATGAAGAAAGGAGGGAGGGAAAGAAGGAAGGAGGGAGGGAAGGAGGGAGGGAGGGAAGGAAGGGAAGGAGGGAGGGAGGGAGGGAGGGAATGAAGGGAGGGAGGGAGGGAGGGAGGGAATGAAGGGAGGGAGGGAGGGAGGGAAAGAAGAAAGGAGGGAAAGAAGGATGGAGGGAGGGAAGGAAGGGAAGGAGGGAGGGAGGGAGGGAGGGAGGGAAAGGAAGTTGGGTCCTCCCCCCCTCCTCTATACCATCTTATTTGTCTATATTGCCAATTTCTCACCGCCTACATTAGTAATTTCAAGTCTGTTTTAATAGTTAATTTGACATGATTTAATGTTAGTTTTAAGAATAACTAAGATAAACATTTTTTTTCATAAGAAAAGGACAGTGGAGTAGTAGCCATATTACAAACCTCACTCAATGCACACCACACAAAGACTCAAGGGGTGTTCGCTCTGTCACAGGAGGGTGCTCTTCAGACTCATGTGGTCTCTCAAGGCTGAAAATCCAAACCCCTGATGCCAAACCTAACAATATAGGGTCATCCTGACTTACTTATGGGAGAGAGACTGCCACTCCTCTGTATTTTTTGTTAGGTACCACTGCCTTGAAAACAAAAGCAAAAGGAAAAGTGAGCGCTTTTTACCTTCACAAACTCCAGATAGTCAGGGTTGGTTCTTTCTCCACCAAGTCTAACAGGAACTAAGATAACGACAGCCTTGTCCCTGGCATCTCCAGAGGTCACAGAATTAGTCTGTTTATCAATGACATCAGAATTGTAAACTGGGGGAAACATAATGAATTATGTATTAAATGTCATATATTATATATGTATTATATATAACATTAAACATTGTAAGAGCAGCTGTATCAACACTCTTATTCTGATCCCACTCCTCCACTTGTTGATCATTTGATCCCTGGTACCACTATCAAAGTATCAACACCTTCAGAATGCCATAAACATGCCCTTAGAAATCCAATGGTAATAAAACACAGGTCTTGAGCTCCCTGAGCATATGCTCCAGCAGAGAAACTAACAGTAAAAGTTGGAGCATAAGATGAGTAGGAAAGTGCTTGACTTGATTAGATGCCTACCATGGGCCAGTGGGGTGACCAAGCAGGAAGGCACTTGCCCCTAGGCCTGACAACCTGAGCTCCATCTCCATAATCCACATGATGGGAGGTGAGAATCAATTCCTGCAAGTCATCCTCTGAGTTCTACATGCTCACAACAGAGTTTTAAGGTGACTACAGATACTGGCCATCAACAGAAGACCCCAAGCCACCATGAGAGACAACTTATCGGCACACTCGTGGGAAACATGTTTCTAAGGGAAACTCAGAATTTTCTCTCCTCAACTGTCTGGCCCTCCTGTCCTGGCCTCTCTGGGCAAGCATTATCAGCATGGGTCATCATAACTGGCTTAACCTGACTAACTAAAAAGAAGTGTTAGATCAAGTGTGTTGAAGCACCCACAGCACTGGCTGCAGGGGTGACGGGGTAGGTTGAAGTAGCATTATAAATTCAAGACCAGCATAGGCTACACAGTAAAAGTCTGTCTTGGTGGGGGAAAAACAGATAGTAAAATAACCATTTTAAATGCTCAAATTTCCTTGGCAAATATAGTTTAATAATTAATGGTATTTATTCCAAAAAAAATTACTAAATTCCTGTTACATGAAGGGTGAAACAAAAATGAATTAGCCATGACTGCCATCTTCATAACCATTTGAAATATACAAACAAGAAAGAGATGAGCTGTGCATACATGAAGGATCTGAGCCAACACAACACACAGCTAGAAACCCACATTCTCCATACCTGTACAGTCCTGTGCAACATAAATAGTTATTCCTTGTAAATCAGGATGTCTTGCTTCTTCTACTGCTTTTCTAGGAAGATAATAAACATCCTTAAAATCCTAGCTAAAATTTCCTGATGGCACCTAAATATTTAAAGTTTAAAAAGGAAAACAATCCAATGCTTCCCTGCCCTTCCTGTGTAACCTGTATGTCTGCTGTCGAAGCTATCATCTGAATGGGATCAGAAATCAGCTGCATTTTCCAAAGCTGAACATTACGCTGAACTACCCAAAGACTCTAAATGAAGTTACAAAACATGCCTTCAGAATCTGTGGCTATGAAACTTATCTCCCAGCCCTAAACAGGCTTCCTTCTTCATCAGCTCCCTGGCTACACAGAGTGTTTTCTAAGCAGTGAGTCATATGTATTCAAGGTTTGCTGCTTCACAGTAAGACACCCCGTACAAACAATGTACTACTGTGTCCCCGACCACACCTGTCCAAGCACTTTTCCTTTTCTTTTTGGCTTATTCACATCATTCAGAAATCAATATGAGGGGCTGGACTGTGGCTCAGTGTAGAGCACTTGCATAGTGTCCTGAGGTCCTGGGTTTGACACCTAGCACCACAGGCCAGGGAAGAAAAAACAACTATTTGATCTGAGCAAATGAACTTCCTAATTTAAAGTGTCAGCCTTCTGTAAGCAGAACTGCAAACTGGAAAGCATTTGTGAGCAAGAGTGTTTTCAGTGGCATGTGTTGTGGCAATACCCCAACATCTGCAAAATGGAATTTCACAGATGTGACAAGTAAAATGTTTTATTTTCCTATATCCTTATTTTTGTCTAATTTTAAATTTTGCACCATGTATGTTCCTGTATATTAGAATAGAAGGAGCACCAGATAACTATGGCTAAATACAACCTGTAGCCTGTTTTGTTTGTTTGTTTGTTTGTTTTATATATACTGTAAGCTAAGAATGGTTTTTGACAATTTCAAATATTGAAAGAGGAAGAAGAATGGAAAACAAAACTGTAAGGTCTGTAGAGCCCCAAATATTTACCATTTGCCACTAAGGAAAAACACGTAGAGCCTGGGGACATCATGAAGGTTAGAAACTATGCTTTTTGTGTTATGCTTTTATAAATGTTTGCTTCACTATTTATCATTCATATGAATTTGAAATGTTCATGTAAACACTGACACAAGTATTTTAGCTTTGTATCTCATTAGACATCAGTAAATTGGTTACACTACAAATTAATAATAATAAAAACTCTGCCTCCAGGTTGAAAGAGATGGCAGCTTTAGAACACACAACATGAGTGGTATGAACAGAGATGGGCAGGGAGTAGAAATGAGTGAAACACATTGATATATTGTATTCGTGTATGAAATTCTCAAAGAATTAATAAAATATTCTATTAAAATCATGGAAACAAGAATAAAAGGAAAGTATCACATAGATGCCTTCACTATCAACGTGTATGCTACACTGTCTAGTACTTCAACAATTACATGTTGATACTGTTCTCTTAATTGGAAACATTACTTTCTTTTTAGAAGACATTACAGTATTTTAAGATTTTGTATGAAGAAAAGTGTATTAATGACATTGCTAAGCTTCATCAGGTTAGCAGGCAGGGTACACTTTGAATAATTATTTATTTCCTCTCAGGAATGGCCTCAAATATGGAATTCTCATCATCCCCACACAATCATAGAAACAGGACCACACTGATCTCACACCAACAGCCATCATAGCACCAAATCTACTACTATAATTATAAAGCTTCTGGCTTCCTTATTCAGAATTAGAAACCCAAGGGTAAGAGAGAGAAAAGAGGAGAGCCAAAGCTGGCAACATCTTAGAAGTATGTCTCCACTGAAGAGATTCTCAAATTTGTTTGTCTAACATTTCAGTTTTTAGTTTGAAAGAATTGTCATGGAATCTACTTATAATGAATCAAGTTGCTACTTTTTAAACAAAATGGTCATTAGTGACATACTACTATGTGTTTGTTCTCTTTTCATAATTATAATTAAATTATGATACAATAAATGTTTTTCTATTTTCAGTAGAAATATTTACACAATATATTTTAGATGCATTTGAATATTCTAATATACTGTTCAGACATATGAGTTACAAATCAAAAATTTATATTTCAACTTCAATTTAAGGCATATTATATCCTTGGTAAATATAGGAGAAATGCTTCTAAAGAGACCACTTCTAATCAAATTGAACATAGCTATCTTATGTAATATTTTTTATGTATGTAACTTCTTTAAATACTAATTTTAAGCATAAGTTTTCAAGTGTTAAGATCAGCTTGTTAAAGTTTATATCCTCAATATTTGGCATAATTATCCTATCAAAACCTGAAAACTTCCTCAAGAATAAATGCTAAATACATTTCAATTCATAGTGTAACATCCATTAATTGGTGATGAACCCTAATACAAAAACAAACAAACAAACAAAAAAAAAGAACATACAACACTATAATTTACGAGAACCTAGTTAGAAAAAGACCATGTATATTAGGGCCTATAAGAAGAGAAGAAAACTCTGTCCATAGTAAGTGCAACTGTAGCCCCCCAAGTCTTGACTCCCTATTAGCAAAGGACAACAGAAGGTTCTCACATAGCTGGCCTTTAAGAGCTTCAGCTATATGCACTCACTGTCAAAGTTTGTATTTCTAAACACAGGACAGAAAGGTTGAAAACAATGGTACCTTAAAATGTGAGCAACCACAGCTGGTCCATACCAATCTCCAGCCTTTTTCCCAGACTTCTTCCCAAACTCTATCAGTCGATGTAAGCCAAAGACAGCCACAGGGGAATCTCCAAACCAAGAGATGATTTTCCTGTGATAAATCTCATTCTGCATTTCATGGTCATTAGAATACTTCCTGAATGTTTCCTTCAGAGAAACTGCTGAAGTTCTGAGTTCTCTTTCCCCTGAAAGTGATGCTTCAAATGATGCAGTAAACTTTTTGACGGTGTTGGAGGTCCATGAGTCAGAGTCTGAATTCTCAATATGCAGTGCATCAGGCCAGGTCCAACCTATAGCATCAAAAATATACATATACACATACGTAACAACACATATTCCTAAATGTATAAGTATGTAAGTATAACCTGCTCATTACATATCAGGTTACTTGTATGTACATGATTTCAGGGCTGACCACTTGGTAAAAGTTGCTTTGAAAGAGGAAAAAAATATATGCTAGACAGAGGCACACACTTTTAATCCCAGCACTTGGGAGGCTGAGAAAGTCTGACCATTGTGAGTTCAAGGCCAGTTTGATATACACAGTGAGACCCTGTTTCAAAAATTCCCTAAGCTGGAAATATACTACATGTAATTAAGGAAAAGTCACAAAAGAGAAAAGTTGAAAAAAGAAAAGCTCCTCAACTCCAGTACAAATGGGCAATCTTTCAATATGGTTTTTTGTTTTGTTTTGTTTTGCCAACCCTCAGTTGAAATAAAGACACCTGTACTCACTGACAGACTTCTGGTCTGAACTTTCCAAAGGCACACGGAAAAAGAAAATATGTTTATTAATGTTTATAGTCTTCTTTAGAAAGAAGATTACTTTTGATTACTTGTTTTAAAGGAGGAGAAGAGGAGAAGTAGGGGGAAGAGGAAGAAAAAGAAAACTACTGAAATTTTTACTTTTCTTCAAGACATTTTTCTGGTTTATTCTTCAGAATACCATGATAGTTTGTTAGAGAGAATAGTTTTCTAGTAAATTAAAAGCTAATGAATAAATCCAGGAAAGCTATAAAATCTAAACATAGCAAATATAACCATTATTTTACTGTTTGTAATAACAAGCAATCCAAAAAAGAAAGAAAGAAGAAAGAGAGGAAGAAAGAACACAGCAATCCTCAAACATTATTTTTAAGTTAATGAAACAAATAATTTTGAGTTTAGATTAAGTCACAGTTTCAGAGATCTATTCAGGAATAAACATTCCCATCCCTGATCATGAGTACACAGGACCACAAACAAATCAGCCCCAGAAAACTGATCTAAACTGTGTCTTACTTAGTTATGTTCAGGGGTAGAGCACATTTCCAGCATACAACCATGGCCCTGAGTTTGATTTCCAATGTGCAAAACTTTTAAAACTTAAAAAAATAATAATAACCTTTTCTTTGTATTAGTCACACTACTCACAAGCATTTTTGCTAAATAACTTCAATCATCTGTACTAGTACAGGGATATCGTCTAACATTTTAACGAATATTGTCTAACACTTTAACAAAATCTGATATTAGTAGTATCTAGAGATAATAGCCTAAAATGGTAAAAACAAAACCCTCTTACAAATGTATGCATTATTTTTTTAAAGCGACTGATAAGAAAAGGACACTAGAAAGTAAATAAAAATAAGTTGTCAATGAGTCAAAGTTGTCAATGTCAAGATGATCAGTGAGATTTTTGAGGATCTAAAAGTCTAACTCTGGGGCTGGAGAGATGGAGCAGCAGTTACAAGTGCTTGCTGCTCCTGCAGAAGAATCAGGTTTGGTCCCTAGCACCCATCTTGGATAGCTCTTAAGTGTTGATAACCCCAGCTCCAGGGCGTCTGATGTCTTCTTTTAGCCCCCCCTCACACTTATTCATTTTAATAAGTCTTTCTTTAAACTCTAAACATAATATTCTTATTAAGAATATGCCTAAATTTTTAATATAAAAAATTATAGCCAAGTGTGATGGCACATGCCCAGCAAGTAAGAGACAGAGGCAGGTGGATCTCTGTGAATTCAAGGCCAGCCTAGTCTACATAGTGAGTTCTTGGCTGGCCAGGGCTACAGAGTGAGACCCTCTCTCAAAAATATAATAATAATTATTAAATTAAAATAATACAGAGTTATAGATTATTTATAAAAATAAAATTTTCAAAATAACTACTGACTTGTACAGAGATAATAAACCAGAGCAAAAATTCTTCTGCTCAGGACTTAATGAGCTGGAGACAATCCAGAGAATTCAACTAAAACAACAAAATGTGAACTAATTCACTGTGGTGACAAGATGGCCATGTAGAATCTCAGTTTTGAAAAGAGAGTCAGGAACGTGTGTGTAAGATACTCAGCTCAGCTCAATACAAATGTAACAGGCAGATTAGTTCTTAGGATTAACTTCAGCAAGGTGTATGTTCTACACAAGCCAATGCTCAAAGCAAAAACAACAGCATCTAGAGACGAACTTGATTTACCTCTGCCAAGAAAATGTAGTATGAGCCCTTGAGCCAAGAGCATCTGGCCAGTCCTCAGTGTACATCCCCAGCCACAGTCTGTAGTCAAGGCTGAAGCTTCTATTTGAGGAAATTCTTCCCTGTAGGTCAGCCAAATTCTAGAAATGAAATCCTTACGGAATTCTTCCACATTTCCTGCAATCACATGATCTTCAATGGTACATCCTGATCTTGCAGGCAACATCTTGTTTTCATCTACAATTTTTTTTAAAAAAAATGTAAGTTATATAACATAAAGACAGATGAAGAAATATGCATAATGGTAATGTCATTACAGTTTGTTATAAATCACATCATAATCTTTCTGATCTTTTTTATTCATTTAAAAGAAACATAAGCTTCACCCTGTCTAATCAAATGAGAATGAACCCTGAGGTGGTTTGTACACTGCGGGAGAGAAATACAGAGGTTGACAGTAATGCTGCTGTTAACAGTGAACATCTTGCACCCTTTAAGAAAATCACTTCTTGAATGAGAGGGTAATGTGAAACACCTTGTCTTTTTACCTCTGTTGGCCCAGGACACACACATTAGAGCTCTTTGAAATGTCACTTGCAAATAAGATATTATGACTTGTCACTATGTAAAAATGTGTATAATCATGTGCTAATACTTTTAAAAAGTACACACTGTATTGTCATAAATATTTATGCTCAAATTATAAAGTCAAAACTAATAAGCTATGGAGTAAGAATATAAAATTCTTAAAACATAAATGTCCTTTTAAGTTCACATTTAATTTTTCAGAATTTGTTGCCACCCACACATACCATTTTAAAGGCCTTTACAGCCTTATTATCTCTAGCAAAATTACTGTGAAAAGCCATTGTTTGCCCAGTAATGTACAAAACACTATTCTCTAAATGAATTATCATTCCTCAATTATTCCTGAAGAAACCACCTCACCTTTCACCTGCAGCTGGAGACCCTGCTTAGCATTAGTAGATTCTGCTAAGTATTAGTGTTGTCTGGCTTCAGTGTGTGCAAGTGAGTAAACACATCTAGCTACAACTCCCAATTCCAACAAGTCCAACCTGTAGGATGTTAAAGGCTGAGAGCTTCACAATGTACTTTCTCTTCATTCTTCCCTCACCCACCCCTTTCCATCACTCTAACTTCACATATATTCAGTGGATGATAATAAGGAAATGAATGCCAAGCCCCTGTTGACAGGACTTTCTCTCAATATTATACAGAACTTGAAGTTAGTTGCAAATAAAAGTGACTGCATATTAAACATGGCACTGCAATGTGTCTAAATATGCCACTTTTGACATTCAAATTTGTTTTAAATGTGATACAACAGTTCCTGACTCTCATGCCTTGTCCTACCAACACAGAGCTCCAATCTCCTCTCAAGAAGTAACTCATTTCTCACCTTCTTCAGACCTAGTCGACACTAAATACTGTAGAGAAACTGTCAGTACTGAACGAACTTTGTACGACAGCTGCAAGAAGAATACGGAATGTTTCAAAACCATGCAATAAAAGGTGAGGAAAGGAAGCAAACAAAATAAACATGCTGATGATACTAGAGGCCTAGTCAGGCTGATCACACAATACTGTGAAATACCAAGAACTACAAAACCTACGCAAACAGACAGAGACAGAACAATACTCTATCGATGACTAGAGGTTCGTTCCATTGGGTATACAACACAATTTAAGAAGAAAGCAAAAGGAAAATTATGTGGGGGGGGGAGAAGTCTTGAGGGAAAAGAGAGGGGGAACAAGAGCAGGGCATGGGATACGTGTGCCCGAAAGCAGTAGGGAGGATCAAGTCCACCAACAAGAGGGGAGAATGAAGGATGGGGAAAGGAAGGTATGGAGGAAAGTTCTGGAAAGAGCATGCACCTAGAGAGAGCCTGATTGACTCACGTGAATTTCAATATTGTAGAGAGGTCAGAATGTGACTATTGGGCAGACCCTTGGGGATGTCACTGAGGTGACCATTTCCTTCTTTGTCATATGGAAATGATAAAACAGAACTTAACAAAGAATGCAAACATATCAATTCAAGCAATATTTAGTTAGTACTTATGCAGAATCCAAGTCTAAAATATGAGGGCTATATAGAAAGATGATATGATCCTTATCCTCAAGTGATGTGCAAGGACCAAATCATACAGTAACACATGATGTCATTCAAAGTGTAAGTAGTTAACATGTCAAAACAGTTTAATCTGTAAATAAAAAAAAAATTTAAAAGTTGAGCAATAAAAAAAAGTTGAGCAATTAAATTCTTCAAAGATTTTAATGCTTCACATATTTATCACTTACCTTCATATTTAAAATGATAACATTTTCCAAGTAATAAAACAGGTGAATTTCTACTAAAATATGTCTTTGTTTTCAACACCCAACCTGTATGGAGAGAAAGAAGGCTCTGGTGTTAAGATTTCAAGGTAAAAGTCCTACAGTGTTTCTTTCCTGCTAGTTGACTTCAAGTCATGACTATCACTATGAATATGTATTTTTAGAAGTTACAAAATATTTAAAGACAATGAACTAAAATTAGGGGCTATTTTTAGTAAATTTCAGCCTTTTAACCATAATCTGCCACTTGAAAAGCATGGGGGGGTGGCCTTGATTTACTTTGACTGGTCCCAGTGCTCTTCTGACACAAACTGAAAAGGTAGGAACTCCTGTTTTGCTCACACTAACTTCTGTTCCTCAAGTAAGCCAAGATAATCAACTTTTTAAATTGTCTTCCACTTCAGATATTTTAATGGGGTAAAGTAGCTGAAAACCCCTGGAGAGAAACTTAAGGAAAGCACATAACAGTCTGGCTTATGTGGTAAAACCGTTCTCTGATGTACCTGTCAAGATGGACATAAGGTGCTCAGACAGCCTCATCTAACCTCTCAATCTCCCGTCTTAAGCTCAACCTGAAGTCACAGACTCAAATTCTCGGGCTTCCTCTTTCTCTTCTGTCAGCAGTGGGAGAGTGTTCTCTTTGGTTACCACAATGGCATTAATCATTCTGAATCTCCCTCGCAAACAGTGGTCCTCTACAGTGCTTAACACTGCCAACCCTGACTCTCAGGGTTGGGCTTGAACATGCCACAGCAGTACATGCCAGTAACTCATGGACTGGGGAGGCTGAGGCAGGAGAATCACTAATTTGAGACCATTTTAGTCTACACAGAGAGACTCTCTCTAGAAAGAAAGCAGAGGGAATGGTTTTCTGAACACAAGGGCATGTATAGACAGAATTAACCTTAATAGACATGGGTCTAATACACTATCTGCTTTTACGTTTAACAACTGTTAGTTAACCTAAGTTTAAAACTAGTGGTTTTATGGGAGTGTTCCCTGAAGCACTTTAGTGTGTGTGTGTGTGTGTGTGTGTGTGTGTGTGTGTGTGTGTGTGTGTACATGATGATCCAAGAAAGGCTCTGAGCTGGACAAGAAGACAGAACGGAAAATCAGATAAACTAACCCACCTTCATTGGGTTTCACTTGGATTACCGTGAAAGCTCATGGTCTTTCCCTATTCTCAAAATGTCACCTATCACAGCCAAATAAAACTCCCAGGGGCTCAGAATTAGCTAGATAACTCTTCTGTGCAAAAGCAGTGAGGTGGCCCAGAGAGAAGCCTGAGTTCAAGCCTAGGCCCACATGGGGAAAGGAGACAGTCAACTCTACAGCCATCCTCTGACTTCCATATATGAACCATCATGATGCATGCACACACAGAGAAACAAATAAAACATCAAACAGTGGCTAGAGAAATAGCTCAGCAGTTAAGAGTGGTTGCTGTTCTTCTGGAGGGCCCAAGTTCAGTTTCCTGATCCCATGTCAAGCAGCTCTCAACTCCCTGTTAACCCAGCTTCCAGGGATCCATTGCCTTCTTTGGCCTTCACATGGGAAACACAAATATTCTGGAATAAACAAAGCAATCTTGAAAAAGTTGGAAAAACACAACCTTCAATTCTTCACTTTATTACAAAACTATATAAATGACAACAGTGTGACACTAGCACACAGGCTGACAGAGCTGAATGAAGAGAGCTGAGAGAGCAAAAATAAACCTATGCATCCTGACCAGCTCACTTTAGAAAATTTGCAAAGCTCTATGTATCTAGGATATGCAAAGAACTCCTATGACTCTGTTGTAAAAAAGAAAAATCACCCACTTACAAACTGGGCAAAGGATCTGAACAGACGTTTCTGCACAGACGATGAGCTACTGGCCAGGAAGGTCATGACAAGAGGTTCATCAGGATTAGTCACCAGGAAATGCAAACCAAACCCACAGCGAGAGCAGACTTCACTTTTGCAAAAATGGTTCTAATAAATTAGCCAGACAATAGGTTTTGACAAGGATCTAGGAAAACTCAAAGCTCAGATGTGCTAGCAGGAATGTGAAAGCAGTTTGGTAATTCTTCAAAAAGTTAGTTATTGCTCAGCAATTCCACTGCCGGGGGCACTGACTCAGCATTAAAGTTCTCACAGCTGGTACTGACTCAGTACTAATGATGTGTTCACACAAGAAAATTGTACAAGAACATTCACTGCAACTCTCTCCACAGAAACTCAAAATCAACTGATGAAAAGCAAACAAAATGTCAGGTACTACCACACGATGAAACGTTACTTAATCATAAAAAAGGAACTACTGGCCGATCGTGGTGTCACTCACATGGAACCCCAGCACTCAGGGGACTGAGGAAGATACAAAACTAACCTGAGCCAGAGAGTTTAAGGACAACCAGAGTTCAATGAGACCTTACCTCAAAAAGATTTTGTCTGTTCTTGCTACCGCTGCCACGACCACAGCCACCACTGCCACCACTACAGCCGTCATCACAGTCACACAATCTTCCACCAGCAGACACCCACTTCTTTGGCCTTCTGACATAAATGGAAAGACCAGCAACTCTAGACTTTCAGAACCAGCCCAAGCCTGCTGGGGCATCCAGCTTCCTGGACCAAATACTTACCAGGCTCTCAGCCGCCCCTCCAGCATGCAGGCAGCCCTTGCTAGACCACTAAGGTCCTATCCTGTGAGCCACTATAATAAATCTCTTTTTATAGCTTACAGAAAACTGGCAGTAAAAAGTGCCTGCTACTGTGATGAACCTGAAGCACGTTTCTCAGGCCTTTGGAACCGGTTATGTAGAAGGAGTGTGGAAGAGTTTGGAACTCTGGGCTAGAAAAGCGCTGAGGACTATAAACAGAGTTTAATGAGCCACTCTTGTAAGACTTTGGCATGCCAGAACACTGAGAGAAATGTGGACAGTGGAGTTTCAGCACATACAGTTTGAGGTGAACAAGGACTCTGACAAGGGTGGGGTTATAGACATATGTGTAATGGTCTGGCAAAGACACTAGCTGCATTCCATTTGTGTCCTGAGAACCTGGGTAAGAATGAATTCAAAAGTCAAGACTAATTTGGCAGGGGAAATGTGAAACCCGGAAGGCTCACCATTTCACACAGGTCTACAGGGAGAATGAGTGACAGGATAGTACAAAGACATAAGAGGGTGCTGTGGGGCTGGGGAGATGCTCGGCAAGAAAGGGTGGGCCATGCAAGCACCAGGCCTCCAGCTCCCGCATCAAAACACAGTGCAAAGGCAAGCATCTATAATCCCAGTACTGGGGAGGAGGAAACGGGATCCCCAGGGCTTACCCAGCCAATCTAGACAACTGCTGAACACCAGGTTCAGGAACAGACCCTCTGTTAAAAAATTAAGGCAGCAAAGTGACTGAAGAAGTCATCTGATCTCTGGCATCCACCACCCATATGTGAGCACGTACACACACACACACACACACACACACACACAATATCATGTATACACAAACACAAAATGTCATCTGAAGGTAAAAAAAAAATGGAGTTTATAGTTGTAGATAAGGTAGGTACTGAGAGAGCAGCTATGACTGTTAAAGAGAACCTCTAAGAAAGATGCTCTAAAGTCATGACACCACCCATCGAGGGCTCCACCATGTGAAAAAAGAAATTCATTTGAAAAGAAAAACCCCTAAGTTAAGAACAACACAGAGAGTGATTTCCTTTTCAAAAAACAAGCATCAAGGCACACAGAAGCCAATACAGCTTTGATCCAGTTGGGCCAGGCTGTATCTCAAACTGGCAGAAGAACTTGGCAGAATCATCCATGTGGTACTGACTTCTCAGGCAAGAAAAATGCAAGAATGAGGATATCATGAAAACTTGTCCCAGAAAGACGCAGAGATTAGGTAATGTGTGTCAGGGTCCGAGTCCCTGGAGAAAAGCCCCAAGAAGTCACCATAGGAAACTCTGATGATGAAGCCTAAGTTGCAATAGAAATCCCAGGATGCTGGGGAGCCAGGACCGTTTACATCAAGAAAGGCTATTGCTATGGCATGAGCCAGCTGAAATGAGAAGCTATGTATGCTTCAAGAGGCAGAGCTGGAGGCCTGGAGCTAAGCCCTTTGGAACCCAGGTGATAGCATCAAAGCCACTGATGCAGGATCTGGCATCTGCCCTGATGGGCTTTGGCGTGACTTAGATCTGATCTTTCCTTCTAGGCCCCCATACCTCCCTTCTGGAGTAGAATGCCATTTTGTGTCATTGTAACTTGTTTGCTTTGTTTTGTTTAGGGGGTCACAGTTAAAAGATTGCCTTGAATCTCAAGACAGACTCTGGAATTTCAAACAGTGTTGGGACTGTCAAAGACTGTGGATACATTTACAGACATTTTGCATTAATAAGATGAAAACAAGACTTCAGGGACCAGGGGTGGAAGATTATGATTTAAATAGATTTGTTTGGGTGTCAAGTTGACAAGAGGGTGAGTTGTGATGGCTAATTTTTAATGTGTGTGTGTGTGTGTGTGTGTGTGTGTGTTCCCAGAAACATTTCACTGAGAGGAAATAAATACCCTAAATGTTGGTAACACTGTTCTGAGATGCAGCGCCAGACTTGGGAAAAGGGAGAAAGCACAGGACACACCAAACACATATTGGTCTGTAGTGAGGTAGTCCTTCTGTAGCACTGACCACGCCCATTGGGGGGTGGAGTGATGGGCGGAGGTGACCTGAGGAAGGAGGTCGGAGGGGGCCAGGAAGGCGCTCTCTTTCTGGCGTGACTCGGACAGGAGAGGATCTGGTTGAATTTCCTGGTGTTCATCTGTCTAGGTTGTAAGTTATTTCTCCCTGAATAAACATCTATTCGGCCTATTTGTTTATCCTGATCCTTATTTACCGCAATATTGGTCTCACTTTGCTCCCTGACTACAGATGCAATGTGACTGCTGCCACCATGACACACTTACTGGAGTGCACTCTAGGCTGTGAGCCTGACTAAACCTCTCCTCATTCACTTTCCTGCTTGTCAGATATTTGTTCAAAGCAACTAAGCAAGCACTAAAACAGGATTCAGCCTAAGGACTTCTCCCTCCCTGAGAGCTTTATCATCCCAACAATCCTGATTAGAGTTGATTGTTTGGATTTTGTTTGCCAAGAAAATGCTAAAAGTGAAGTCCAAGGGGCTTCACCTAGAAGAAAGCCACACATCTTGGTGAATGAACTTGACACCATCTATTTTTGTCAATTCTGCTTACTTCCTGGTTTACATATGAAACTTCCTGAAACTGAATTCAAAGAACTTGAGAAGTTTTACAGCCTGAACAAATTCATATGCACACAAGCCATGAAGATATCAAAATATTCTACCAAATTAGAAAAAAATTAGTTCTATATCACATATTTACTTCTTCGTGCCCCACCCTCCCCCAGACAGGATCTCATATACCATCCTCACTGGACTGAACTTACTATATAGACCAGGCTAGCCTTGAACTCATAGACTTTCCTGTCTCTGAATCCAAAAAGCTGGGATTACAGATCATGTCCACATTTCAATACAGTATATTTGAGTCTCTAAGCAATGTTCATGATCATATTCCACTTTCTTCAAGAAACTCTTATCAGTCCTGTTGACATTCCATCCATATTCCATAACTATTCCAGTCATGATAATACAGTATTTCATTCTCAAGTAAACTTGCACAATGCATAAGCCACAATACTTACTGTATTTCATGTTGTTCCATGCAGACATAAATTTAGTTTTTAGTTTGTCAACTTCATCTGTTCCTGAAGCCTCCATATTCAAATTCTAAAGAAAAAGCCATCACTTGATTCCATTCTTTCATGAAATTCAATGTACTAAAAGAAAAAAAATAAGGCAAATAAGTAATCAACACATAATATATGGTGCCATTCTACTAGTTGCTTAAATTATTAAGTGTAATTTAAAGTGAAAATAAGCAAAACAAGCAAAGGCTGTAGGTTCAGTTGGTAGAGTGTTTGCTTAGCGTGCACAAAGCCCTGGGTTCAATTCACAGTGCCTGCATACACCAGGCACCGTGACCCATGCCTGTAATTGAAGCATTTTGAGGGAGAGGCAAGAGGATCAGAAGTGCAAGTTCATCGTCATCTGAGTTCAAATTTGAAGCTAGCCTGAGCTACAATAGCCTTGTCTCAAAATAGAAAAGTATCTTTTTTGTTTAGTGCTTTTCTAGAATGTGATACTCTATATATAATTTAACTATATAATATAATATAAACTATGTGAAATAAAATTATCATATAACCAAACAATAATGCCCCAATAGCTCACAACTAAATACAACTAAGTAAGTACCTGAAAAACACGTCTCAGTTTTAATGCCTGCAAGAATACCCAAGGTTTCTTTCTGTTTGTACTTAGAGAAGCTGATTGGAAACTTTACTAAAACATTGGCTCTCTCTCAGCTGGTTACCAACATTTTTTTTAATCCTCTCATTTTAGCTTCATCTAGGATTATAGGCACAAGCCAAAACCCTTAGCTAAGTCTCTCAAAAATCACAAAATTTGGGCCAGTGAGGTGGTTCAGCAGGTCAAAGATGTTTGCTACCAAGCCTGACAGCCTGACTTGGGTTCCGAGAACCTACATGGCCGGTTAACAAAAATGACTTCTGAAAATTTTCCTCTACTCACCTACTGTAAAAAAACACACACAAGATAGATAGATGATAGATAGATAGATAGATAGATAGATAGATAGATAGATAGATAGATATAGAGGATAGATAGGTAGATAGAGGATAGATAGATGATAGAAGATAGATAGATAGATGATAAATAGATAATAATGATAGATAGATACAGGATAGAGAGATAGAGGATAGACAGATAATAATTATAGATAGATAGAGGATAGATAATAGCTAGATGGTAGAGAGATAGGTAGATAGATAGATAGATAGATAGATAGATAGATGATTGATAGAGGATAGATAGAGGATAGATGATAGATAGATAGATAGATAGTAGAGGATAGAGAGATAGAGGATAGATGATAGATAGATAGATAGATAGATAGATAGATAGATGATGGATGATAGAGGACAGAGATAGAGGATAGATGATAGGTAGGTAGGTAGGTAGGTAGATAGATAGATAGATAGATAGATAGATAGATAGAAGATAGATAGATAGATAGATAGATAGAAGATAGATAGATAGATAGATAGATAGATAGATAGATAGATAGATAGATAACAAAACTATTCAAAAACAAACTGGTTTGGGTTAAGCTCTTAACAATACAACCAGAACCACTCCATCTAAAGCGTTAGTGAAGCCATGAAATGCGTAGCCTTGCTCCCACATGTTCTACCATGTTCTGCCCTCCTATGGTCCAATCACTAAGGTCCAGCAACCGCCCACTGGGACCTCTAAAAGTAGTGATAATAAAGAAAATGTTGGAACATGCTAGGAGAAATCTGGCCTGTGACCAAGTGATGTCACTGTGGTAAAACCCCGCAACCGGTGCTGGAGAGTGCTGGCTGCTCTCGCAGAGGACCCAGGCTCTGGTCTCAACACTCAAATAGTGGCTCACAATTACCTGTAACTCCAGTTCCAGGAGACCAGACACCACCTTCTGGCTCTGCCAGCACTACATACATGTGGTATACAGGCGTACATGGGAGTCTGTTCAGAAGAATGCAGCACTAGCTGACAAGGAGATGAGGCTTAAGCCAGAAAGCAGATCATAAATCCTGGTGGTGGGCCAATTTCAGAGGACACCCACAGACCAGGGCTCCTCCTACCACCTCCGCAGGTTAGAGTCAAGAAAACCTGTCTTTAGCAACTGAAAAGACACTTGAAGGGACACTGAGGAAAACTGGTGGTAACCTGATGTGGTGGGAAATATCGGGAGTCCTAGAGCTCAGGACATTGAGGCAGGAACACTGTCAAGAGTTTAGTGGGGTCTAGGTAGTGAGCTGCAAGCCATCCTGAGGATGTGAAAGGGGCAAAAGACTAGTGCTTAACCATTCAAATAAGAAAGTCAACTAACTATACAAGCACACATGCATGCACACGCACACGCACACACGCACGCACACACGCACGCACACACACATGCACACGGGCCAGCAGCTTGCTGAATTTGAAATCTGGTAAAAATGAGTAAGTCATCTATGAAGCTGAAAAGCATTAGTCTGGCAATAAAATTACAAAATCTTCAGCTTCAACAAGCAAAGGCAAGCTGTGAAAAATCTCTGGAGACATGTCCACACATTCCATGATCAGAGCCTAGGATGGAACCACAAATGTCTCATAGTGTGTTATCAAATAGGTGTGACCAGCCACAGTTTCCTGTGGTATGCGTGAACAGGGCCTGGTGGTATACTATACTTTGTAAAACTGTGTACACCCGTTGATAACAAAACTAATATGAGCTGGGCATGATGGTGCACAGGAGGCAGAGACAGGCAGATCTCTGTGAGTTCAAAGCCACCTTGATCAACATAGTGAAGTCTAGGATAGCCAGGACTACACAGATCCTTGTAGGAATTCATTCCTCCTATGGCCTTGGGGTACCAGCCCTGGGCATATGACAACTGATAAGCTTGGGAGGAAGGGTCTCTCTCTTGCTATGCTCATGCTTGGTATAGTTAACAGGATTATGTATATTATTGTATTTTCTTTGAATTTTTTACTGTTAATGGGATAACTACATAGAGTCATTTGATTGTGGGGCCTGCTAAGCTAAACCAACATATATATTTTAATGGTATCTTTACTTCAAATTTTGGGTCTAAGGATATGTTGCTTTATAAAAGAGGTTCTGCTTTTGTTTCCACAGAAGATGAAAAGCTGTGAATTCCTTCCAGGCTAATATGGTTTGATCAAACAAGACCCCCTTAAATAATGGCCCAGGTGATCCAACATCCATGACAGCTTCAGGACTTCTGGCTGAGATGACCAATCACACAAAATACCTCAGTCAGGATACCCATAAGATTAACATCACCCCCCAATTAGCAGGCAATAGTATAGAAAACCTCATCCCAATTCCCAAAATGATAGTTTATAATGTTTGTTCTCATTTAAGGAATTGGTTATAAATGGTTAATGGTCATAGTCAATCTCATTCTAAAGAAAAAAAAAGATGTGATACAAAAATGATGAAAAAAAAGTACATTATTGAATCTACTTTAATAAAAAAATAACTTAATCTCAAGACACTCTACTTTGGTATGGATTTTGGTTTATTGATACAAATATAAGGTCAATTTTGTTACACTATGTATATTTCTACTCTTGTTTAAAGGTATTGTGTTTATGCAACTCATTCAAAAATGTAATGCAATGTATAGTTAAGAAATACAAATTAACAGTCATCTACAATAATCAAACTTGTAGACATGCTAGATATACAGAGATATATTTCAGATGGATAGGTAATCTTCAAACACTTCAAAGACGTACAGAATATGGCATTTAGACTTTTCTCGACAGTGAGACATGTCTACTCCTGACAATACCAATTACTTCAAGAGGATGATGGGCATTGAAACTCCTTATGGAGTTTGCTCTTAGTGTAGCAAGACTAGCCATTTTGGACAAGAAACTTCTCTTGCCTGGACTGCTTGACTGTGTGCTGTATAAAATGGACATGCAGGACCCACAGGAAAGTGACTGCTGAACCTGCTAAAACAAAATAGGATGCTCCTTCAGGGTTCCTGCTTCACAGAAGAAACTGTCAGACATCCTCCAGGACACAGAAGGAAGCAACTGATGAACTTTACCAGTACAAGGCAAAACAGATCTTCAAATCTCCTGCTTCACTGAAAAGTCTGCAAGATACTATGGACCAATATGTTGACGATGGATGTCCCAATGTTACAGAAAAACTTAGGGTGACTGTCCAGGCAGCCAGATATCTCTGTCATTTCTAAAGTTTTGGAAATTGTTTACAATGCACTTCCTGTTTACTTAGCTAATATTATATCCCTCTGGGGTATTTGATGGCGTTAAAGACAGTTATAATTATAGTTTTCCTTAGTTATGATAAAAGATAAATTAGATATAAAACTTAGACTCACAAAGATAGGATAGATGATAGAGTAGTTTCTTTAATTTTGTCAAAAGCAAATAGACTAAATATTGTAACTAATTCTTGCTTGATAATTGATTTATTACATGTGATTTTAATATGTTAAAGTTAAAACCTTTCTTTTTAATTAGATAGAAAAGGAGAGATGATATGTGTTGCACTTATTGGTTAATAAATAAAGCTGATTTGGCCAATAGCCAAGCATAATAAAGCCAGGTGGGAAATCTAAACAAAGATATGGAGAGGAAAAATAAGGCAGTGTCAGAGAGACGCAATGTAGTGTCTAGGAAAGCAAGATGTGAGGTAACAAGCCATGAGCCTTGAAGTAAAATAGAGTATAATAACAGAAATGGGTTAATTTAATTGTGACAACTAGTCAGTAATATGCCTGAGTCATTGGCCAAACAATTATAATTAATATTAAGCTTCTGAGTAGTTATTTGGGAACTTCTAGGCTGGAGAAAAATGTCCAACAATAAACCCTGTCAAAAAAAAAAAAAAAAGTTAATATGGGTAATAATGGATTGGGGAGAATTTGGGTTTCAAATAAAATCAAGAACAATAAAACCTAAACACTATAAACATAAAAGTTGTGTTTTGTTTAGAAGTGTTTAAAAGTCATCCTGCTGACAATTCCCCCACGTTTTCCTTGGAAGAACCAGGGAAGAAACAGAATAGCAGAAGCTGATCCATAACTAGCCTTTAGTGCTTAAGGACCTTCACTAATTGTTCTCAAAATTCTGCACTAGCACTTTATAAATCTTGCATCTAGTGCCA